TACATATGACGCCATGTGAATCGGGCTCTTGAATGGTGGAAGGGACCTCTTCAATGATGACAGTATTAAAGAATACACAGTTTAGCAGAATTGGCAGCAACCGAACAAATTTACTTTCAACCAAAAGACAAAACAAAGACAAATACTATTTCACAGTGTTAAAGAATACACAGTTTAGCAGAATTGGCAGCAACCGAACAAATTTACTTTCAACCAAAAGACAAAACAAAGACAAATACTATTTCACAGTGTTAAAGAATACACAGTTTAGCAGAATTGGCAGCAACCGAACAAATTTACTTTCAACCAAAAGACAAAACAAAGACAAATACTATTTCACAGTGTTAAAGAATACACAGTTTAGCAGAATTGGCAGCAACCGAACAAATTTACTTTCAACCAAAAGACAAAACAAAGACAAATACTATTTCACAGTGTTAAAGAATACACAGTTTAGCAGAATTGGCAGCAACCGAACAAATTTACTTTCAACCAAAAGACAAAACAAAGACAAATACTATTTCACAGTGTTAAAGAATACACAGTTTAGCAGAATTGGCAGCAACCGAACAAATTTACTTTCAACCAAAAGACAAAACAAAGACAAATACTATTTCACAGTGTTAAAGAATACACAGTTTAGCAGAATTGGCAGCAACCGAACAAATTTACTTTCAACCAAAAGACAAAACAAAGACAAATACTATTTCACAGTGTTAAAGAATACACAGTTTAGCAGAATTGGCAGCAACCGAACAAATTTACTTTCAACCAAAAAGAAAAAACAAAGACAAATACTATTTCACAGTGTTAAAGAATACACAGTTTAGCAGAATTGGCAGCAACCGAATAAATTTACTAAGCAATCTAAGTGAAATGGCTAATCTAAGTGAAATTACGAGTAAATTTATCATTAAGTTAAATATGGAAAATCTTAAACTTACCTCGTTGCGTAGAGTATGAACCTCATTCTGTAACGATACTATCATCTCACGTAGAGCGGCAACCTCACCACGTAAAGTTGACACCTCCACACGCCATGCACCATCGTTATCGCGTAGAGTACCGATCTCCTCACGCAAGGCATTGACCTCATCACGTAACTCCCTTGACTCATCCCGTTGAGGTGGAGGTGGAGAACAGGGAGATAGGAGTCGTGGCATCTTTGCCGGTCGCCTATCATGAGGTGATGGTGGAGAAGAGGCTCGATGATGTGACGAGATAGGTGATGGCTCTCGTTCTAGAGGTGTATAGTCGGGTCGATCGGGTGATGGCTCTAGGTGAGGTGATGGCTCTCGAATTGGAGGAAGTGGATGCTGCTCATCATCCGTGCCATCAAAAAAACTTTGACTAGCTTGCCACCAATCAGTGGCAAGCTCTTCCTCCGTGGGTGTCAGTCTTTGTAATGGAATGTTGGCCTCCTAAAATATAAAAACTCAAACAAAGTTAAACGTCTACTATTAATAACTTGTTTATATATTATATGAAAGTATTTGTGTTAACTTACATTATTTATTGTCGCATATGGTATTAAGTCTTCCCAATCCAACAGAGTTTTCCTCTTCCAGGAAATAGCCCTGGGAATATCATTTGACGTTTTTATTGCATATGTACGCATGCTGGGGAAAGCCTCGAATATCCAAATCTACAAACAATATAATAACAAAATTAGTAATTGTTAAATAATTAATTATAATTTTAGAAACATTATATAGAAATTCTTACCTTAAAGGCCCAAACAAAGCCTGACAAAGTGTATTTGGACCCATCGCCCCGCAAACTTTTGCGGTCATCAAAGGCAGACGACAACTTAGTCCAGGTAGCTTTCCATATATACGAACCCCACGGAAACAGATTCCATGCATTCAGGTCCTCTACCAATATTATTAGCTCCCGATGAATAGGTTGTCTGGCCTCTCTGCCTAAAAAGCCAGCATACACAAGTAGTAGAAGGCATACTCGGACAACATCGACGTCATCTATCCGAGTGAAACCAGCTTTCTTATTAAACAATTTCTTCAGGTCGTCGACATGTAGGTTCGGCTTCTCCATTGACTCATCCGGAAAAACCCGGGATAACCATGATGGGCGGGCGATATGACGAGTGTACCGGCCTACATCATCGTGTCCGAATCGTAGACCAGTGATTAAGCAGAACTCCTTCCGCCCAAAACAAGTATACGCTGGTGGAAAATGAAACCATATCTCTTCCTCACCACGTTGTATACTGTCGGGTAGATTTGATGTTATGGTCTGAAGCCACAAATGGGTCAAATTAGCATCTCCACCCGGATGCTGTACTCTCAGCCATGGCCCGAAGCAGGTTTCCTCAAACAATTGTCTTTGAGCAGGTGAAAGCTTCGAAGCAATTGTAGTGGCCAGGCTGACTTTATTTCTCAAGGTCAATTGAGCCGAAAAAAATTTCTACAAAAACAATAAACATACCAAGTTAGATATACCAAAAACTACACTGTGAAGATATACCAAAAACAATAAACATAAAAAGTAGTAGTTTATTCTTGAAACTAAAATTTGCAACACTGTTTTGTCTTTTGGTTGAAATGAAAATCGCAACGAGAGAATCGCAACGCGAAATGACAATCGCAACGAGAGAATCGCAACGCGATATGAAAATCGCAACGAGAGAATCGCAACGCGAAATGAAAATCGCAATGCGATTTTGGTTTCGCGTTGCGATTCTCTCGTTGCGATTTTCATATCGCGTTGCGATTCTCTCGTTGCGATTTTCATTTCTCTCGTTGCGACAGTCATTCTCTCGTTGCGATTTTCATTTATCTCGTTGCGACTCTTCTGCAAATTGAAACTTGAATGGATTGCATTACTTCAACCAAAAGACAGAACAAAGACAAAGACAAATACTAACTTGAAAATCGCAACGAGAGAATAGCAACGCAAAATGAAAATCGCAACGACAGAATCGTAACGCGAAATGAAATCTAAGTGAAATGGTTAATCTATTATTGAAATGACCAGTAAACTTATCATCAGTTTCAATATGAAAAACCTACAATAATGCAAACATTTCAAAATAAAAATAATTAAAAAAACTAACCCTCGGAGGTTGAATTTCCATTTCTGAATATTGTGAGGGATTTCTGACCGTGAATGGTTGTGAGGGATTTCGCCGGAGATGGGGACGGAAATCTTCGGAGATGGGGACGGATTTCTTCGCCGTAGAGAGTGAGAGATGGAGATGGGACTGAGTTGTGATTTTAGGTTTTAGGTTATGAGTTGCGATTACGGGATTTTGTCTTAATATTCGTTTTTGTAATTTGAAAATAAAATACGCGTAGCGATTATAATGGCGCTTTAAATATCGCGTTGCGATTTACGGATACGCGTTGCGATTTTATGTATTATCGTTGCGATTTACGGATACGCGTTGCGATATACGGATACGCATTGCGATTTACCCATACGCGTTGCGATTTACGGATACACGTTGCGATTTACGGATACGAGTTGCGATTTATGTGTTCGCGTTGCGATTTTCATATTCGCGTTGCGATTTTGGAAAATCGCAATGCGAATTTGTACTATCGCATTGCGATTTTCAAGAATTGCGTTGCGATTTTGGAAACTGATTTGCGATTCTGGGGATCGCGTTGCGATTTTTATTTCGCGTTGCGATTTTGTTGGTCATTTTGGCAAATCCAAAAAAAGTTGGTTAAAATCGTATATTATAACTTTTTTTTTGTCACTGAGACGATTTTCTCTAAGAAAAAATGTTTGACTTTTTCTACATGTTTGAAAATATTTCTTGTCAATTCAAAATAAATACCCTGTGACGAAGGGATACATTACTTGAAGGGAAGGGAAGGGAAGGGAAGGGAAGTTTTTCAACCGGAAGGAAAAACGGGGATTGAGATTTCTACGTTTTAATTTAACACCTCTGACAAAACAACAATGTAGATTGCTCCAAATTATAAATACCCGAAGGCCAGATACTTTCTTATTTGCGTCTTTTTTAGTGAAGATGTGTTTACAGGCCTAATTTCGATTTTTACCTTAAAAATTGTTTAGATAAAACTTTGTTTTTTTTAATAGATGAATACAACTTACATATGGTTAAGAATTTAGGAGATAAATAGACTTTAACTAGCTCCACAAACGATAAAGATATAAATAATTTACTATAAACGTAGATATCATAAAGAATATAAATATATGATATTTCATGTATCCCTCAGCCATGTATATACCAAAATACTCTTTCAATGTCCTTCAGCTATATATATATATATATATTAATTTTACATAAATTTAGGACAATTAGAAGAGTGAAAATAAAAGACCGAGATTAACTTTTTGTTTCAGTGAATATATTCTTATTTCCTACTATTAATCTCAGTATTCTATTTTTACTCATTCAATACTCTCAACCATTTGACAATCTCAATCACCCTTGCAGTCGCTGATGTTTGAACTCTTGACCTCTAGAAACAACAACAATTCATTTAACCATTGAAATAAGTTGGTTCGTACACACATATATATATATATATATATAAAACCTAAACTCCAAATATAACATAAATTTCAAAAGTTGTAGTGATTATAAAACTAATATATCTCTCTAAAATAATTCTTTATCATAATTCTAAATACTGTGACATATCCTCAACAAGAATTATTATTTTATAAAAAAAAATTAATTTAATAAATTTAATCATCAAATAATTTAATAAATAATAATTAATTTCTAATTACAATTTTAATGAACATCTAATACATATAAAAAGAAATGGGTTAAAATGTGTTAAAACTTCTCCAGGTTAAATTAGAAGTGTCATAGAACTTTGGAACTTCGTTGACCTTCCAAAATTCCAAAATAACCCTGGCAGTCCCTAAAAGCATCGAAACCGAAACAGCCCAAACACTGAAGGACAAAATGGGGATACCGAATATGCTAAGTAAAATACTGAACCGTTGGGTTAAGCCTAACTAATCACAAATTATATAGAGTACGCCGTCTCCTACGCAAGTATTGGTTGGAAAATATCACAATTTCTCAGCTGAAAACACAACTGAGAAATAATCAGCTGCAAAGAAAAAATGGGTTCGGTAGCAAAGGCAGGATTGCAGAAATACTTGTTACAGCTTCAACATCACCCTTTGAGAACCAAGGTTTCTTTTCTTTTCTTTTCTTTTCTCATGTGTGTGCGCTCTTGCGCGAAACATCTTTTGGGTTTTGTGGGCCAAAATTGAACAAATTTGAGGAAATTTGGTGCAGGCAATTACGGCAGCGGTTTTGTCAGGGATCAGTGACACTGTTTCTCAGAAGCTTTCTGGAATACCCAAACTTCAGCTGAGACGGATTCTTCTCAAAATGGTAAAAGATGCTCTTTGTTTCATTTTGCCCTCTTTTGTGTCCGAGATTTAACCAATAGAACTGATGGGTTAGAAACAAAGTTCGCCTTACCGTTCCTATGTTTAGAACATTTGAGTTAAAGGGAAAGATCAATGTAAATGAGTGAATTGTGAATTGGAACCACGGCTTTGTTAAGTCTTAAGAGATGTTTTAAGGAATTTGGGTAAAATTATATTGTAATTGGGAATTTATTTATGTAGCACCAAAGAGTTGGTAATGAGAAGAAGGGTTGACTTTGTAATGTTATGAGTTCATCGGAAGGGATAATATGTACTTTTCCATCATCTAATACTGTGATAGTCATATGCAGCTCTTTGGATTTGCCTATCTTGGTCCCTTTGGACATTACATATATATGTTACTGGATAAAATTTTCAAGGGGAAGAGGGACTCCAAAACTGTTGCCAAGAAGGTATGTTACTCAATTTATTTCTCCTGTTTTCCAATAAAATCCACTTTCAAATCCTATTGATTTAAATTCGGGGATCATATTGAATTCAATCTGTCAACTTGATTCTACTTGATAGGAACTATAGGAAAAGGGTCTAATGCTGATTAAAATTGTGTCAGGTGGTGCTGGAACAATTGACAACTTCTCCTTGCAACAACTTGCTTTTCATGATTTATTATGGGGTGGTTGTTGAGGGTAAGCGGCGTTTGGTTATGTACATATTCTTGGCAAGAAAAGAGTGGATCTAAATCATCTCTTGGAATTTGGAATAACTTGATTTTATGTTAATTTAATATTTGTGGTGAAATTTTTAGATATGATAAAGTATTTGTTAATATTTAAATTTTAAGAAAGGCAATTGGACTCGATTTAGTTTCATCGCTTCTTCTTCTGATAGTTTAAATGCAAACTTAAAATGCAGGAAGACCCTGGATGCATGTGAAATCTAGAATCAAGCAGGAGTATCCCAAAGTACAGATGACTGCATGGACGGTATAACTTTGTTTCCCATTCTGAGTTCTATAGTGTAATAGTTTATATATATTAATGTGAACAAGAGGAGCCTTCTGCCCGTACATATATACCTTAGAACCTGCCTGAATGAAATTGCAGTTCTGGCCAGTTGTGGGGTGGATAAATCACAAATATGTGCCTTTGCAGTTCCGTGTCATTTTCAGTAGCCTCGTTGCATTTTGCTGGTAAATACTTTGCTTCTTTCCCTCTTTACTTTCGACCTTCAAAATATATAAATTCACTGTTAAGGTGATTTTTTATTCCTTCAAACTTCATTTTTCAGGGGAATATTTCTGAACTTACGAGCAAGATCTATGACATTGCCCAAGGCTGCACTGCCCAAGAGTAAATGATTTGAAACCTTCCATGTGCTTGGATTGATTAAATAATATAATGTCCACATTCCATATCATATGCTCATTTTAATTTTTATGTAGCTTGAAGCTTGTTCTGTGCAACCATGAATTAAGTCTCATTTCCTTGATCTTAAGTTTAGTGCTTAGCTAAGCAATAAAATTTCAGTCTTTTTTTTTTCTACTCAACCTTACATGCTAGTACTAGATAAAATGCATGCCACCGAATTGTCAACTGAAATGGCAGGATGATGATTGTGGCCTAATATTATGTCACTGCTAGGAAACTAGTATCCATTACATTCAAGGCATCCCTGTGTACAATGTTGGGAGATTCATGAATTAAAACATGATAGCCAGCCACAAAAGTGAGAACTGGAATATTTGCAAGTCTTCTTAGTCTTATGTTGGAACTGCACCAGATTTTTGCTTCAGGTTCAAAGTTAAGTGATGAGTCACTTTAACATTGAAAACAAAACATTGCAGCCTTCATGATGAAAGTTTTGGTCGAAAAAGGAAAATGTGTAGAAAAGAAAGTTATAGATGCTACTTAATTTATTGTGTACAACATGAAAATTTGGGAACTTCAGCCAGAACAAAGAAATCCCAGAATACTTCTTTGAAGAAACACATCGAAGTGACAAAACCATGTCGGATTCGTGGTCCCAAAGGGAATAATTCTAATTTATACTCTCATGATATGATCCACATTCCACGGGTTGAGTTGTAACACCCCCAACCCGTACCCGACCCGAATACGAGTCTAAGGTGTCACATTGACTTTTCAAACTTTGACTCTTGACAAAATTCAAAGAAAATTTAAAATTTTCATTAAAATAAAAACGGATTATTTACATAATTGACCAAAATAACCAAAATCTATCAGAGCATATTCAACTCAATCAATTAGTACATGCCAACTATATTCAAATTAACCAAACACATTTAAATCATCTATTTTCTGATCTGAAATTGTATAAGGGAGATGCTGACTTGTCTTGCTCTTCTTCACTTCTCTTCTCGCTTCTGTAACCTACGCGTGAAACAATCACACGCTAAGTCTATGACTTAGTGAGGCAATAAACATATAATAAAAACTATAACTTGTAATCATGCATGAACAATTACTACTATCACATCATACCCAAACATATATCCATTCATATATATATATATCAAATACACACATGCATATAATTATCTTCTTTCCTATCATTATCATATTATCACCATTCATATTTCTATTCTCTTGTTTATATGATCCATTATGTTCATATCCTATATCTTATAACATATACAATAATCACTCATACACACATATCATATCATAAAATTCATATCACAAAACACATATATACATCACATACATTATATTCAATGTTATCTCTTATTAGTCCATGTACACCTGTGAGAATTGTAGATATGTGAGTCTATTGAGGCTGTGCACTATACTATCACCACAGCTCGTATGAGGTCCTACTAGGAGCTATGAAATTTTATCCTGAAGGACCACTATGAAATATCTCGAAGGATCATTGTATGTCCCGAAGGACCGCGTAGACCCTCGACTCTTGGCATACCAACTATACCTATAACTCTCGTATCATATAACATGGGTATTATATTCATATTACTTCACATATTCACATATACATTTCACTTTTCATATGATTTCATAATCATATGTCACTTAGCTTATAACACTTCTCTTGTGTTCATATGGCATGTAACTCATTGTCATCTCTTATTCTAATATAATTCTTATACCTCAAGTATATCACATTCATATTACATATTCGTATAGCACATACAAGAACAAATCAATTCATATAAACAATCATACACACACTCATATTAAACACAAGTTACTATTCATGAATTCATACACAACACTATAGGAAATAGACTTGTCGCAAGTCTTATTTCCATCATCTATCATATACTATCGAATATGCACTCACCTTGGCCTCACTGAGTTTCGATCTCCTTTTATGATTTCCTTTCTTTTGATCGAATCTTAACTTGATGATCATACCGGAACTTGTTCGTGTTCGATATCTACATAATCATACATTGATACATATTAGTATTCAATTAATATACTCTAATCTATTATTTCTTAGTCCAAAAAAATATCTATTTCAATTTCCCCTTGAAGTGCATCGATGCATTCTTTAACATGTGCATCGATGCACTACCCATGCATCGATACACCAATCACCTTCGATGTTTTCATTTTAAGGGGATGCATCGATGCAACAATTGCATTCGATGTTTCTTCTTTAAAGAGTGCATCGATGCACATTGAATGTGTATCGATACACCTTGCCCAGAATTTGCATTTTAAGCCCGAAAATCATTAATTCTTCATTCAATTCTTCTATTTTAAGCCCCTATTATGTCATTAAATTCAACTACCATTACCTAAACCAACTTATATCCATATAAATCATTTTTATCTTCCATATCTCATCATGATTCTTAAAATTTAAGAATCTTACTAAACTTTCAACTTTGTTATTAATCATTTCTAACTTCATATATCTTTTATTTTTAGTGATGACAAGTCAAATTCCTTCTCAATTTTCACTTATTAACTCTTTTCCAGAAATTCATTTAAAAACTCATTTTCTTTAATATCTTCTATATCTTTCATCTTGTTATTTTAGAACAAATTAAGCTTTCCTTAAGCTTAATTATCATCTAATAATCATAATCCAACCTTAAAATCAATAATTAATCAACAAACAAACAAACTCACCTTTGAGTTAAGCCTTCACGTATGAAGAAGGAAGAAGGAAGAAGGAAGAAGAGAAGAGAACTTTAGAACCTTTTCTCTCTTCCCACGTGATTTCCTTATCTTATAAGGAAAATAAAAATCTTCCTTATCAAATTACCCTTTTGCCCTTCAATTCATCTTATAATTACTAACAACTTTTATGATTTATTTCTAAATAAATCATTGAACTAATCCATGGTTCTACTCTAGTCACCAAATTCTGAAACTTTACAATTTGATCACTAACCCGGTATTGAGGATGTTACAAATCTCCTATCCTTTAAAGAAAATTTGTCCTCGAATTTTCACTCAACATATCAATAAGAACATATCTTCTAATGTTCTCATGCTACTTCCTTTACTTAATCTTTCCTTCCTTTATTTCTTCAATTGTCTATTTCCTTTATACATTTATCTACTGCCACTTATCATATAAATAATAACTAGTAACTTTAATCCATTTCTGTCTTTTCTCTCCTTCTATTATGCATTTTCCTTCCTTAAGGTTCCATGCAAATACATATCTCCTTTTCTACATCATAGCTATCTGATCAGAATATACAACTATATTCAGATTCACATCATAATCAATTAACTCAACTTTATTTTTTCCTCCAATATTATAACTCTATCACCTTTACTCTGACAACTAGTCAATAACATCTGTTCAATCTAGGGCACAAGCCATAGTCAACCAATCATATACATTCTTTCCAATCGAAATTATCTCAAAATTCGTTTAGTTAACTTGTCAATTTCACCTCTATTCTCATACATCCTGAAATTTCTGTGGTTCAAACTCAACATTATGACTTCCTTTATCTTATAATCTGATCATCGATATACTCATTCTTAAACTATTCTCATCAATCCTCAGCTTTACTCAAATATACAAATCCTTACTTCCTTTTCCTTTACTATATCACATTACTATGATCCAAATATACAACTGTATCCAGATCCATTTTATATTTGGTTATCATATCCTGACAATATCTTACAATCTTATACTTCCCATCACATATTCTTGTTAGCCAACTCTAATTTTTTCCTTTTAAAATGCAATCTCTTATCATATCCACTCTTTTTCTTATGTACAACACTATTCTTTGTTTCAACTCATAAACTTTGGCTTTCTATATCTTATACTCTTGTCACTGATGCATTTATTCTTGAGCTCTTCTATAAGTACTCACCATGTCATTTGATCTTCTTAATGTTCTTATGGTGACACTTGTTCACCATATTCTATCTTATCCACATACTAACAAAACTAATCCATATAACTTTTTCGATTCAAAACAATAAAGATCTTCTATCATTATTCTAATATGATTTCAACTTTTTGAAATCAACCTTTAATCTTATAAGACACTTTCTGAGGTTTTCGCTCTTCATCCTGCCTGGTCAGAGCAGGTGAATTGCTATCATCATCAGATTTGTCAGCTATTGATTCACTTCAACCATTTTTATAATGAATTCCTACTATATCATACAAATCTTATTCTATTAGCAAGACATCATACTCCTTACACTATCAGATCAGAAATTTTCACCTTTAGTTGGCATGTACATATTTGTAAACCTCATTTGACTTTGGTTTAAGCTTAAAATCGGCTAAACCTTAGCTCTGATACCATTAAATGTAACACCCCCAATCTGTACCCAATTCGAATACAAGTCTGAGGTGTCACATTAACTTTTCAAACTTTAACTCTTCAAACTTTGACTCTTGATAAAATTCAAAGAAAATTTAAAACTTTTATTAAAATAAAAACGATTTATTTACATAATTGACCAAAATAACCAAAATCTATCAGAGCATATTCAACTCAATCAATTAGTACATGCCAACTATATTCAAATTAACCAAACACATTTAAATCATCTATTTTCTGATCTGAAATTTTGTAAGGGAGATGCTAACCTGTCTTGTTCTTCTTCACTTCTCTTTTCGCTTCTGTAATATACGTATGAAACAATCACACGCTAAGTCTATGACTTAGTGAGGCAATAAACATATAATGTAAACTATAACTTGTAATAATGCATGAACAATTACTGCTATCACATCATACCTAAACATATATCCATTCATATATATATATATATATATCAAATACACATATGCATATAATTATCTTATTTCCTATTATTATCATATTATCACCATTTATATTTCTATTCTCTTGTTTATATAATCCATTATGTTCATATCCTATATCTTATAACATATACAATAATCACTCATACACATATCATATCATATAATTCACATCACAAAACACATATATACATCGCATACATTATATTCAATGTTATCTCTTATTAGCCCATGTAC